AAAACAACCGGGTACGCATGCTTGATGATCGGCAAGGACTGCGAAACCGGTAGTGTGCTTCCAGGGCAATTTTGTCTAGCCATTCATATACTACTTACTACGAAATATGGTGCGGGCCTGATCGACGAATTCGATGTTTTCGAAATCGAAGTTGTGTCCTTCTGGATCCTCATGAATTGAGATGAGTGAGAGCGTACCGTGTCTTTTGACGGCCAGTTTGTATTCGTGCGCTCGAGTTTCTTTTTTCTCCATGTTTGACCTATGTAGGGCTTGTTGCCGTCCTTGCAGCTGATGCGGTAGATCACATTTATTCGATTTTGTCATCTTGTTTCTTCTTGGTTTTTGATAAGATTCTCCGTAGAGTTGTCGTTGCTTTATGGGTGACTTGAATGTTGTGTGGCTTTAGCATTCTCGAGGTCATTTCAGAAATGTTCTTCATATACAGAAGGGTTATTCGTTTATTCGGTTGCCCGGATGTCCTTGTATGTTGTGTTCGAGTTGTTGTCCGTTTGACGAAGTTGCAGGTGTAGCCGTTGCTGCCCCAAAGTATCAGTGCTGCAGTGTGTTTTAGCCCTTTTGAAAAGTGTCCGAATGCAACTCTTCTTGAGGCAGGTTGAGTGGTGTCCCAGGATTTGATCCATGTAGGTCTTCTTTCTGTATACTGATGTTTCTAGCGGGCCGGACAATGAGAATTTCCGAAGCTTGGTATTCATTGGAAAACTCGGTCAACCGACACATTGACATCGATCAAGTCTACACCCCTTGCAACAAAAGGACCATTCAACGCAAAGAAGGTCAGTCGTGTCATAGGTCACGACAGGACAACCGTAACGCTGATCGACCAACGACCAGCCGTCAGACTGCTCGCGTCCACCTCATCCCCGATCGGCACAAGGCGAACAAACATCAGCCAATCAGGTAACACCACGTCTCTATATCATTCGAAAACCTATATAACGAAAGGGACACTCCTAAACGCTCACCCAGTTACGGTATTGAGAATGTCACCTCGACTGGTGATGAAACGTTTGCAATACGAATGCCAAGCTCGGTGAACAAATGAACATCATATATATATATATATATATATATATATATAAAA